ATTCGGTTTTTCAAAAGATAAAAAATAAATTAATGTTATACCTATTTTTATCAAATTATGTATTTATCAAGTTGTCATTGATGATGACGATGATGATGAGTCAACTTTTAGAAAGAGAGGAGTACTAATAATAATTAACGACTTCTAATGAATTAATTTAAGCTATTAATTACTAATAATAATAACTCACTGATATTAATTAATTATTGATAATAATTCCTTATAATAGTTACAGTTAATACTTAATTACTGAGAATATTTCTCATTATTAATTCGGAATGATAATTAATAATGATTTTCATAATGGTAATTAATAATTCAAAAATAATCATTTTATATTTATATTAGCTCATATTAATTATTTTGAAAATAAATATTTAATGTTAATTATTTATATTAGAATTGTTATCAGAAATTATAATTCATACATTTATATATGAAATAATTAATTATATTATTATTATCAATAATTATAATTAATACTTATATTACTTAATATAATTATATATTTATATTATTATTATCAATAATTATTATTACTAATAATAATGATTCCTAATAAAATTTAATTACTGATTATAATTACTTATTGATAATTAATTCCCTAATTATAACGATGATAATTATTACTTCAGAATGTAAAGTAATTAATGATAATTAATAAGTATTTTAATAATGTTAATTATTAATCGGGATAAAATCATTTTATATTTATATTAATTCATATTAATTATTTTATAAATATATAACCAATTCTACTTATTTACACTATTGTTCTTATAAGTAATTATAATTAATACTATTATTATTCTCCAATAAATATTTCATTTGGTTAAAGTTAAATTATAAACTTTCCATTATCCATTATTGTTAAGCTAAAAGAAATATAAAAGCAATTATTATTTCAGGAATTAACTAAAAATCATAATTATAACAAATTAATTATTTCATAATAATAATAATAATAATTTAATATTATTGATTTCAAAATCAATACACACATAATAAGAATATATTATTAGTAAATAATAGTAATAATAATATACTTATTATTATTATTATTGATTTCATAATTATTAATATATTATTAATCTATATTAACTCAATAAAGACATGGAATAAAAAAATATTCAAATTGCTACTAAATGAATGAACTAAAAATCTATGAGTGTTCTAATTGACTTGAATTTGACATATCAGCATGCCTAAACTTATAATTTCAACCTACATTTCCTATTTCTATCCCCCAATTCCCATAATTCAAACATACCATTATGTTATGTACATGTTTCTCTACCTTTTTCCTAAAGATAAATTCTACCCAGTTTATGTGCAATGTGGAGAGCTTAGACTTAAAATCCGTAACCATGATCGATCAAAAGAAGTGTTGCCACCTAACTTGGAGGTAACTTCCATATTTAGGATGGTCCCATTGTTCTCCTTTCTTTCATGTTTCCTTTATTGGATGGGCTTTGGAATCCTAATTAAATTATTAATTGATTGTAGCCATACATGATGATTTGATTGTAGTCATATATTTTTTATCTCTTACTTCAGAGGATGGATGCATCTGTAAATGTTGTTTGGCATGAATTGTTTTTCTTAGCAAGTCATTGAATGATTTTCTTCCTTCTTTGCCGTTTTGAATGAATATCATTAAATGCTTTTTATCCATTCATATGTCCCTAAATATTAAGCAATATTGGTGATATTGTTGTAAACATCCATCTAATTTTATTATTTTATAAATAGATTAATGATTTTCAAGTTATTGATACTTTTTTGGGGGTGGGTTGCTCAATAGGACTTTGATTTTTTATTATCAAATAGTAAATTTCAAATTAAATGATACAGTATTTTCCCCTTACTTAGTATGGGGTCATTGTCTAGATAAAACATGGTAAGTCTCTTAGATCAAATAAATAGACTACCCTAAAGCTATGTTTGGTTTGAAGGCAAATGTAGGGAAAGGTAGGGAAACCTTTACAAACATTGTATAAGTTTCCCGTCTTTCCCTTCCTTTCCCTACATTTTCTTTCAAATCAAACATAGCCTAGATGTCTATTATAAATAATTCAAATTAAATCAAATAATTACTTGCTGGAAACTACTGAATTAAGTAAATAATAATAATAACCAATTATTTATAGAAATAAATAATAATAATAATAATAATAATAATAATAATAATAATCAAGTACTTAATTAAGTAAATAATAAAAAAATGAAATAACAATCATCAGTTATCATTAATGATCATTCAAAGCATGCCCCATAATAATTATTGAATACAATAATTAAACCTTAAATAAGAATCAATATTTATTAACAACCATTAAAATTGTTAAGCCGAATCATTAATGTTTATTCTTAAATGCAAAATGTAAATTAACAAATCTATTATATAATAATTATAGTCGGTTGGAAAAAATATTTTAAGTAAATATTTAAATAATTACAAATTTAGTTAATATTATTACTATATAACAAAAAAATTAAATTAAATACTTAAATAAATTAATAATAATAATAGTTAAATTAAAGTAATAAACAGTTCAAGTTGAATTTAATGACCCATATAATTTTACGGGTTTAACATATAAGGGTCAATTTATGTGGACCCATAGACTGTATGGATGTCTTAAAAAATGGCAATATATAAATAGTAATAAAAATGATAATAAAAATTATTAATGTTTATTCATATATATATATATATATATATATATATATATATATAACTTCTCTGTACTTACTACGGGATTATTCACTAGTTGAAAGAATTAAAAGAACCTTTAAATTTCAGAAGCTTCTTTTTATTACATGTCATGAGTAGGTTTAGTTTAGTCTCTTGATGACCAAGGAATCGGCCCATTGGACTTTAATGACTGGCCCAACCCGGCCCTGTTATGATACGTCCTTCTCGAGCTTCTGGCTCGTAGGCCGACCTCCTAACTACTATGATTCATAGCCTGTTTAATAGTTGGTTGGGTTCTTGTTGGCAGTCATGTTTTTGCTACAGGAATTTAGGTACGAGAGTTCCCTATACCTGAACTCCGCGCTGTTGTGCATGTATTTCCACCTGTATTCGTAATGTGTGCTGTGATGAGCTATGTTTGGTTGGAGTGCATTCAATGCATGACACAGTTTTGGTTCAACCCTCAACCAGTATGATGTAACAGATACCGTTCTCCCAAAACCCACTCCCCAGCTATTCTTCTTAATTACAAACAAGTGGAAGAAAAGGAATGATTTTGCATTTTGGGGTTGTAGAATGGAAGTGGCTAGCTTCACTCTTTGAGCAATGCCAAGCACACAAATTTGTGTTGATTGTTTGTCTAATCCCTATTCACTAATGGGTCATCCACCACACATATGGAATATTGGATCATTTGAAGTGGGTCCCAAGCTGTCACTTGTCAGTGTGGGTAGTTACAAACATATTACTCCTGAAGTGTTGCCCTCCCTCCCTCCTGTCCGTGTCCGTCCAGGTGGTTCCAAACATTTCATAATATTCTAGATATGTTGCGTAAGTAAGCAATTCTCTCTCTCTCTCTTGATAGGTGGAGTAGGAGCATAAACTTTGTAAAGAGTCAGAATGAGTCAATCTGCATAGATCATTTGATTTAAAGCTACTTATACTGCAATGTTAAGCATGAAATCGGTACGGCAACGTGGTGGATTTGAAAAGGGTTTTGTAAATTCTAGATTCAATCTGTTTTTTTAAACTTTTCAATCTGTATTTGTTTCAAAACCTATAGTGGGTTGTATTTTGAGAATCCAAAACTCTTTCCGCATTTGAGGGTAGGGATGGGTTGGGTTTAGAATATGTATCTAATTTACTGTTATTTATTGTTATATATAAGCACTATATAAGTAAAATAATACAAATATACAACAAAATTTTCGATTATTTGATTAAGACATGTAAAAAATACATAAACTATTAATTATCCGTCACATAAAATTTAAAATTTTATTAAATTCAACACCTATTATAAAGGCTATGTTTAGTTTGAAGGAAAAATTAGGGAAATGAAGGGAAAGGTAAGAAAACCTTTACAAATCTTGTATAGGTTTCTCTACCTTTCCCTACATTTTCCTTCAAAGAATACATAGAAAAAGTTTATATGCTTTCCAACAATATGTAGGTCAGGGAGGGTCGGGGTTTAACCTAATACTATACCCGTGCAGGTTGTAAAACCCATCTTTCAAACAAAAAAGCCCACTCCATCGGAGAGAATAGGGGCGAATACCCACAACGTAGGGTAGAAATTGTCATCCCTAATCTTTCTTGGCCTAACTTCAAATGTGGCTGTTTAACAAAATCCAGTCTATCCCTAACCCAGTTAGCAATGTGGTAGTTCCTCTGTATCCCAGTTCAGCTGGTTTCTAACAATGGAAAGGATAAAATTGACGAAAATTTCGAAAACTGGTCCAATTGGATGGATGAATCCGTCAGATGTGAAAACGTTGAGATCAATTTCTCACCATTCTAATCACGCGTACCAGATTGTTCAAGATACTGTCTTTATCATTTTTAATGAGCCGTTGGTGGTTTTGGACGGTTCGAGCTAAATGCTTGAATTGCTGAGTGTGAACCTCCCGCCAAAGTTGGTCCGATTAAACAGTAAAAATGGCAAATGCTATCTTCTGGGACGTTGTTAGGTGAGGGAGCAATTAAAGCTCCATGTCTTGGTTGTTGGTCCCCAGAGGTTTCATAACAACACCACACATCAACTGTATGAAAAACCATCTGATTTGAGAGATTAGGTGATCAGTAAACTTAAACAAGGTAGAAGTTAAAAGATGCATGGTCTGAAAAATCCGCAAAACCCAATTCAGATTCACCATCTCTCTCTCGCTCTTATTGATTTGTCGGCCTAGGTCACCAAAACAGCTGTCACATGTGGAGTGAGAATACGTTGAATCCGAAGTTGTACTTTGGTGGGTGCAGGTAAGATTGTCAAAAGTGTGGCCCAACAAAAGAACATGAGAGAGAGAGAAAGAGATGTGGAGATTTAGGAGAGGTTGATTGAGAGATTCAACTGTATTTAGACATCAAGTAAAGGCAAGGGGAGGAGCTTTTAAGTAGGGGATGGAGAAAGATGGGTAGGAGTTAAAGGCTTCTGAGGAAATAGTGAAGGAGCTTGATTGAACAAGAGGGTTGTTTATAATCCTTCTTGCCTTTCTTTCTTGCTTTCTTTCCTATTTCTGTTGGACGCCAATCGGTAATTCCTTTGCTTCATCTTTCTATAATAATTTGTGTGTTAAATTCTTTCTCTTCTTCTTCTTCCTATATTCTGGGCTGTTTCTGTCTTATTATATATAGCGGTCCGAAGTCCAAGACTCTGAGTGCTGATTTCAAAGAAGAAGGTGACGGAGGTGAGGAAACCAAGACCAAGAAGAGAGTCGGAACAGCCATTTCATTTGATTCCTGGGAAAATGGCTGCCTCATTGTCAACGTGGCCATGGGAGAACTTTGGCATCTACAAGGCATGGACTGATCATGGAACCCTAGCTGCTGTTAATTTACTTCATCTTCTTTTTCATATTAGTATTGTTTAATTGTCACTTGGTTGTTCTATTTTGCTTCTTAACTGCTTTTGCATTTGTGATCAACATACAGTATCTGTTGTATGGACCTCTTGTAGCAAAAGTGCTCTATTCCTACTTGTATGAGGACATCCAAAAGGATATGTGGTGCCTTCATATTCTACTCATCTGTACTCTCAGAGCTGCCATGTTTCAGTTATGGTGCTCAGTTTGTAATATGTATTTCCTAACCAAAAATCGCCGGATTGTCCAACAATGTCCAGATTTCAATCAAATAGACAGAGAGTGGAACTGGTAGTTCTTGTTCTTGATTTGATTTCCTTTTTTTTTATTTACTTTAAATAAATAAACAACATTCTAAGTGGGTTTATTCCCTTCTCTTTCTCTCTCTCTTTTATTTTTTACTTTGAACAGGGAAAACTTCTTAATCCTGCATGCTTGGATTGCTTTCATGGCCTGTTACATGTTTCCATCTCTTACAGAAATTCCTACCTGGAACTCAAAAGGGTTAATCTATGCCGTGATACTCCATGTGTTGGTTTCAGAGCCTCTATACTATTGGATACACAGACAATTCCACAGTGACTATCTCTTTACTCATTATCATTCACTTCACCATTCCATTAAAGCGCCAACTGCCTATACTGGTATATATGAACCAATCACAAAGATTTAATTCGTTTTCCATTATCATTTCCAGAGTACTCATCCTTACAAGAATATTTTAATTAACAAAGATTTTTATTTACCCTTTCTTTCTTAAATTTGTCTGGTGCAGCCGGGTATGCAACCCCTCTGGAGCATCTTGTATTGAATGTGATCATGGGGATTCCTGTACTGGGAGCATCTCTTATGGGAGCTGGATCAATATCATTGATCTATGGCTATGTTTTGATCTTTGATGCCTTGAGATGCATGGGACTTTGTAATGTAGAAGTCATCCCACACCAGATATTTCGGCTCTTCCCATTCCTTAAGTACCTAATTTACACAGCAACGTAAGCATAATTACTATTGAATTTGTCCATCTCTTCATCAGTTTAATTTCTCCTAATAATATTCAGACAAAATCTCAAGATGAGTCAGATTTTAGCTCTTATTAAATAATTAAATCCTTGTTGATGATTAAAACTAGTCTTTTGGGTTAATTAGAGTTTGATTTCTAACCATCTCCTGTAATAATCTTATATTCATTCATTCATTGTTGCTGGGATTGTGCAGATACCACAGCCTGCACCGCGCTGAGATGAACACCAACTTCTGCCTCTTCATGCCCATCTACGACGCTCTGGGAAGAACACTAAATACCAAGTCATGGGAGCTTCACAAGAAGATCAGCACAGGTGGGTCCTTGACGATTGAACAGCAAGAGTAGGACAAATCGATATGGGCAAAGCGTGCAAAATATAATATCTTCATTAATTAACTGAGAGATTTGGTTAAACAGTTAGTTGACTGGGTGGAATGAAACATGTATCGATTGATCACTGATCCTCGAGCTTAAAACTGTGCTGCAGGCCTGAACTGGAAAGTGCCGGACTTCGTCTTCCTCTGCCATGTCGTCGACATAACGTCGTCGATGCATGCGCCGTTCCTGTACCGGTCACTGACGTCGATGCCGTTCAAGATGATGCTGGCCTATTTGCCGTATTGGCCGATTGCTTTTATGGTGATGTTAGCGATGTGGATCAAATCCAGGCCTTTCATCGTCTCGTTCTACAGTCTGAAGGGTTTTCTTCAGAATACATGGTCGGTTCCTAGATATGGGTTTCAGGTGGGGTTCTGCAACTCTGCGTAAAACTGATTATATTCTTGTTAAATTTAGAAGTGAAGAACCTCTGCAATATTTGTTCGCTCTACTTAAATGTATGTGCTCGTCCTCTGCAGTATTTCATACCTTTCGCTCTGGATGGCATTAACAGACAAATTGAGCATGCCATTCTCGACGCCGACCGATTGGGCGTTAAAGTCATCAGCCTTGCTGCACTGAACAAGGTCTCTCTCTCTCTCCCTCTCTCTCCCATGCTTTAATAAAATCAACTTTCATTTCTTAACAAATTTTTCTGTTGAAGGGTTGATTCCATTCTTTAATAAAATCAAATGATGAAATCGTGAAGGCCCTAACTTGTGGGGCCTAACCCCAATTCATAGTTGTTATACCAAAAAAAACAAAAAAAAAGAAAACTTAATTCATAGTTAGACAGGGTTTGAATGGCCGGCCTCAACGTCAACGAGTTGAGTTGATTTTTTTCTTTATTTTTTTTAAGCCAGAGTTGAATTGTATTGAGATGATATATTTTATTGCCATCTCATTTCTGTTACTTGGAGCTTTTAGTTTCATTGATCATCCATATTTCATTTGATTATCTCCTCAAGATTTTGATTTGAAATATAGAGCCTGATGATTTTCCATACGGCACATACCACACGTGGAGTCTCTCGATGTGTAATATTAAAAACCTTTTTCTCTTTCTTCCTTAAAACCTCTAATGTTTTAATTTTTTATTGAAATCTATCATTACTCTTTTTTAATAAAATCATTCTTATTTCTCCCCATCTTCACCCTTTCTATTCAATCTTGTAACCCCTCTATCCTTTGTGTCCTTTGAAAAAATGGGTATAAATTAAATGGGGTGGGTAGGGTTAAGTAGGAGTGTTAATTGGACTGGATTTGGTTCAATGTGAATCCATTATAAATAGATCAGGACCAATCCAATTCAATGAATATTTTGGACCAAAATTATATATGGTCTATGAAATGTACCACCCTTAACATAAAATACAACCCAAAAAATATAAAGCCAAAATTTTGTATATTATTAACCATATAATTGGTTTGGGTCTTAATCAGTTTGGAACAACAAGAATCAATCTTTTAATTCAGTCAACATAAAAATCTTCCACGTGGCAAGATGGGTCATGGGTAATAGTTTTAGGAATGTCAATGGACTGGAATTGGGTAAAAACTCATGCTCATGTTGGGTTGAATCTTCAAAACACTTTAAATGAATATTTAGTATCATTATCGTTTTCTGATACAACACCCACATCATGAAATGTAGGAAATTAATTGAGTAGGCATGTGAGTTAAGCATGAGTGAGCACGTAATAGCTGTATGACATATGTCGTGATTAGTGCGCCTTTTATCCAATCATTTTGTTCGGTTAATAAAAAATAATAAAAAAATATTAATAAATCCCAATATATGTAAGTTTTTCATTTTTATTATTTTTATTTTTATTTATTTTGATAAAAATAATAAAATAATGAATAATTTCTGTTTTACTGAAAAAACGTTTAGATTAAAAACACATGAACTGGAATATGTCACACAGCTATTACGTGCTCATTCGTTGTACTAACCTATCCTGCATATTACATCCGGCGAATCACCCTTAGACACCACATAACACAGGTAAAAAGGTGAAAACATGGTTTCATTTAATTTGTGGTGCATCATTGTTTTATTGAGGCCGCCGGGTTGGTGGCAAGAAATTAAGTGATGTGGCCTTGGTTGCAGCAAATACGAACTCAATCCCTGAGACCCTGACACGRGCGTAGGCTCCGTTATGACACATGCTATCCTTGTATTTTCATACGTAGCATTGCGATTTAAGGTTGCGTGTCCTTTCCACCTACCTTGTTAATGGGGCGAGTCTGGATTTGCCACAATTTTCTTCCTACAGTAAGCAATCCGTGTGTTCTGTTCAGTGTCCTGTCCATTTATTACACTCTGGGTTTTTACATGTACCGATTTTTACAGACATCTAGAGTACTGTAAAACCAATCACACATGGATTATTTAATGTAGCGAAATCGGAGTGTGGAGAAAAAGTGTAGTAGATCATGGGGCAGGAAGTGTAGTAAATCAAGGATCAGTTCAGAAACTTCGGATTAAGCCCAGCCATATATCATCATCATCATCATTTCTATTATTTGTTGATACTAGAATTAGACTTAAAAGTAGGAGTTTTTCACAAACTCCAACAACTAACAATTGCTATGTTTATAATGTTAGAACGAAGCTCTGAATGGAGGTGGCACACTGTTTGTTGAGAAACATCCCAACCTTCGAGTACGAGTAGTCCATGGGAACACCCTCACTGCCGCTGTAATTCTTAATGAGATTGGAAAGGATGTGAAGGAGGTGTTTCTAACCGGGGCGACTTCTAAGCTCGGGAGAGCCATTGCTCTCTACCTCTGCCGAAAGGGTGTTCGTGTCCTTGTGAGTACCTCTTATTAGCTTCAATAATCACCTTCTCTAACATCTATATATATGGTTTTCCATTTGGGTGTACGTAGACTAACTATATATATTTTTGTTACCTTAACTTAATATTATTAATGGGCGATTTACCTAAAAAGTTTAAAAACTAATAAGCTAAACATGAGAACATGGGGTTATTCATTGTTGAGCATGGGTTTGGACGATTGTTTGTGTTTATTATTTTTCCTTTTGCCTCTCCTTGTTTACAGTGTAAATCTGTAACTATGTTCTGCACTCTTTATCTTATGCAAATTAAATTTGCATTGTTTCATTAATTTGCACTCACTGACAGTGCAAATTTTATACCATTTTCCTTACACCTCAAATCTCTCTCTCATATGAATCATACAATTAATGCTCACAGATCATGGCTCAAGAAATGAACCATGACTTGAACAGATCTTTTCCCGGAACCATATCCACATTTTTGGAAATTATGAACCAAATACCACCAAAGTCAAAATTAAATTTAAAGCAAAAATTAAATCAGAATTTACACTCTTATACATTTATACCAGTGTAAATGTATAAAAGTTTCTTTTTGCAAACTTATTAGACCATCCAAGTGTAATAGAGGTTGTTTTTGCTAAGTTTCATTTGCAAGTTACTCAAGTTGTTTTCTAGAATAAAATAAGTTAAAATAGTCTTTTGTGCATATTTTACTATTAATTTATATAATAAATGGTTTAATTAGGGGAAGGTTAGGAGTTATGAGAATCAAATTATATATCAAATCATTAATTTCTTTGTCATCCATGGTCCAAGAAATTCATACTTTTACCATGTTTGCAGAGGCTTTCCATGAATGTCAGTCACATGTCACCTGGTCATCCCAAAGCTTGTTATTAAATGATTGTCCAACTAATTTCCATCAACCTATAAAAGAGTAGAAGGAAATTGCAAGCTAACTTGGAAGAGGCTTGTGGAAGCCAATTTTGCCACGTTTATCAACTAAGTACCGGTTAATGATTCCTCTTTATTACATTGCTATTTGTCTAACCACTCTTAGTAACAAGTTGGAACATATATGTCCTGGATAATTTCTTCCTGCACAACCAGAATTAATTTGATTATTTAATTAATACTCAGTCATCCCTTCAACCCCATATAATACATTTGCCTTCCTTAGCATCCATTTCGGAGGACTTAAATAAATGAAACATCTTTTCTGACTTTATGGAGTACGCCCTATATAGACTGACTTTGTAAGGCCCCTCCCTATATAGACTGACTTTGTAAGCCCTTGGTTGTCCACTTCAAAGCAGCTGAATCTTTAATTGGCCTTTACACTGTGTTTTGTTTGAAAGAAAGAAAAGATAGAAAAATCAATACAAACCTTGTATGAGTTCTTCTACCATTTCCTTTAAATCAAACATCGCCTTAGTAACCGTAATAAACTTGAGTTTGGATGGCTTTTGTTCTCAAAAGATCATTAAATGGACCATATGGAGCTTGAATTTGATTGTCGGTCCCTTCACGTGGCAAAAACCCTAGCCATAATGATTCCAACTACTTRTGTCTGGGTTGAAGTGGAAATAGATATCCAAACTATAAGTGATGGTTGTGGAGAATATAATAGCGCCACGGACAGTAGCCATAATGGGCCACCAAACCCATAAAGGACGAGTCAGTGTATCTAAAAGGGAAAAAAAATATTATACCGATGGCGGTATTTGATCAAATTCATGGGATCATGAGGTTTCCAAATGCTTTCCTTATTTGATACAGTGGTGTTGAGTTATTGCTTTTGGGTTCATCAATACAAATTTATAAGAAAGCGATCATTAACCGACCCGAAATATTTTAAAAACATTTTGAGTTTATCAATAAAATTATAATTTCTACTTCAAAATATCAAGTTTGATATTCTCAGATTCATGCATATTTATAATTGAAATGCCACGCGTTTGTGATGTAAAAACATATTTGTATTGATAAACCCAAAAAACATTTTCTTGATTGCGGTCTAAAATTTGGAAAACTTTCATTTGTGTTGACGTGTAAGTGACCATACCTCCTAAAAATGATAAAAAAAGGTTTTATTTGATAAGTGGTCTATTCATAAAATATTTTTAAAGACGTGTTTGTATTTCGGTATAATTATAAGATTAACCTTGTCCGGCGCATGATACATGGACAGCCAAGATGGAGTCAAGCACAAATTATGATGATATTGATGCTTATGATAATCATGATGATGTACATGTACTTAAATTGTAACATCCACTTACAGATGCTGACCCAAGCCACGGAAAGATTCCAGAAAATTCAAAAGGAAGCCCCATTGGAATGCCAAAACTTCTTGGTTCAAGTGACAAAGCACCAAGCAGGTCAAAACTGCAAGGTAATTTCTGATTTTACTTATTTGAAATGTTGCTAATTTGTTCCAATTACATACATTAATACTAAGTGAATGCTCCATGGATTAAACATTTTATTAGGCATGGATCGTTGGGAAGTGGCTCACACCAAGAGAACAAAGATGGGCTCCACCCGGGACCCATTTCCATCAATTTGTGGTCCCACCCATTTTCCAGTTCAGAAGAGACTGCACCTATGGTGATCTTGCGGCCATGAGACTGCCTAAAGACGTGGAGGGTTTGGGTTGTTGTGAGGTATGTAACATATGATCGATCTCTTCATCTAGTTTTACTCTACCCAGTACAAATAATAAAATTCATGCTTTCTCTATTGGATCATTTTGGACCGGGTCCATTCAAAGATCCTCAACTCACTGTGGGTCCTTAGCCCATTAATATGTCAGAAAAGTTTTTCTTATGCAATTGAAGTTCTATATGCAGTGTAAATCTAAACTGAATGTAAATTTTGCATTTGGTTTTAGATTTTCTGATTATGATTTGTACTCCCATCTGATGCAGAATCTACATTTCCTGTCTCATCTGCACTTATTAAAAGTTGAAATTTTACATCACAAAACCTGGTGCAAATTAAATTTACATCACTTTTCTCCTACCAACTCTCTCATATAAACAAACAACTTTCCTTTCCTCTCTTCTCTGCACCCTATCATCTGAGGACTTCCATTTCTACTTCTCACAAACAAGAAGCAAATTATCTGAACTGAAATTACACTCGGTCCATTTGCACTCACATGTATTTACACCGGTGCAACTTACATTTGCACCGCTTAGTAACGTACAACATGATCATCAGCCAATCAGCCATACACGAACAAATTAAGAAACTAAATTGTTTTGTTTGATTTGTTTGTGATGGTGCAGTACACGATGGATAGAGGAGTTGTTCATGCATGCCATGCGGGTGGATTGGTTCATTGTCTAGAGGGCTGGACCCACCATGAAGTTGGAGCCATTGACGTTGATAAGATCGATATGGTGTGGAATGCTGCACTTAAACATGGACTTACTCCAGTCTAGGCTGCACTTCTCTGTCTCTTGTCTCTCTATTTGTTTTCATTGTGTCCATGCAAATTAAAAGACCATCTTGTATTCCTTTTCAGTGTATGCGTGTTTCTTTTCATAGAAACGACCATGCTATTACTGTAAAGTCATAAATTTGCAGCAAGATGTTCTTATAGGACTACAAATTGTTTGCAAATTTAACGGGAATGCACTGCTTTTTTCTTCTATTAGTTATTTACATTTAAGTTTCAGATGTGTGCACACTCAGAAGCAGTGTTAGTTCAAATGGACTTATGTTCTCTATATTGGGCTGATTTAAAACCAGGAATAAAACCTGTCTATATAGAGTCATTAGTCATTACAGTAGATTTCTTTTAGTAGAACATTGGAGCTTTCAATAGTTATCAACACTTGAGAATAGGTGCACCAAATTGAAGATATCATCCGAAGGTCTGAGTTAAGTTTTGCTTACAATGGGGATCTTATTTTTTTATTTTTTTTTAGAAATGGAGATTTTATTTGGGGAGCTGTATTTGATTCACATGGAAGGGGCTGTTTGATAATCTATATCTATATCTATCTATACTACTATTAAAACTGGGAATGGGGTTTAGATTCTTGACTTTTTTCTTGAATAAAGTATCCCTATTTTTGAATTATGTCCTCTTTATTATAATGTGGGTAAAAACATAATTTGTACTACTATTATTATTAAATTCATTTAATTCTCTCTAATTAAGTCCTATATTTAAGATATTAATTCTTTTTCCCTCTCATTAAATCCTATTTTTAAGATATATTAAATATACGAATAAGATTTTCTGGCTTTTTCTTGATGAAAACACCCCTGCCTTTTTGGTCCCTGCATAACTATGAGGAAAAAAAATGTAATTTAAAAATATTACATTTTATTTTGTTTAATTCCCTATCATTTAGGTGTTAATTAACTCCGTTTCTTTCTCATCATTAGATTCTTTTGTTTGAGATATTTTTGTTTCTTACCAATAAATTCTATTAGTTAAATCAATATCAAATAATTCTGACAATACAAAACCTATGTATTATAAAATTGACATGAAAACTAAACCAGCTTTCTTGTGGCAAGTGAGAGCGTCAAATATCTAGGTCAAATGGGTCAACCAATGGTCTCATAGTTAAGCAATATCAATTTGTAAATAAATAAAAATTATAAAAATAAGTGTGATAAATAAGAAGTATTTTTATTAATTGTGGAAGTGAAATACAAGATTTAAAACTGACTTAGAAGCAAAAGCATTTTCCTATTTAAGTAGTGGATCAATGATTCAACCTTTTAAGTTAAATGGGCCAATCCATCTCCTACTTCAGATATGGTGGAATTAACTCAAGACTAAGGTTTTAGAAACCAGACCAAACACATAACCATTTTGGGGACCTGTTCCCAGGTCAAACAGTCCTACTGTCTGGTTCGAATGGATGGCCTGTTCTATTTTAGAAAATAAAAATGACAAAAAATCATTGTTTGAGTCAATAGGTCGATAGTTTGATCGACCACCTAGGTCAGCGGGTCACTAACCAAATCAATGGTTTTTAGGCCAAGAGTGGTTTTAGGGTGAAACGGAACCAGTTCCTAGGTCAACCGGTCTGATTTTCAAAACCATGCTCAAGACTCAAGGGTCTCCAATCTCCTATTCGCCCCCAAGATCGTATCTCRCATCTCTTCCCAACTATTCTGTAGTAAAATAAGATGCAGGATCAAAATGACCATAAAACTCTCTTGAAACAAGTGGAACAACTTGAGGTACACGACGTCCATAATCAGCCATGGGAGCATCCTCATGAAAATACTCCTAGTGCTCCTGATGCTTTACTTTCATGCTCAGTCTCTTCTTCTTTATGAAACTCTCTCCCCAGCTCCACCCAAATACCCATTTCAACCTTCTACAATTTCTTATCAAGGTTTTAAAAATCAGATCAAACATGAAATCATTTTGGCTACCAATTCTCAAGTCAAAACGGTTTGACTGTTCAGTTCGAACGGGATGACCCATTTTGATTTAAACAAAGGAAAAAAATTAAAAAAAAAACAACAAAAAACCATTGTCTAGGTCGATAGTTCGACCGCCCAGGTTAGAGGGTCATTGACCAAATCAACAACTTTTTGCCCAAGAATTGTTTTAGGGTGAAACGGAACCAGTTGCCTGACCAGTTCTTGAGTCAAAGTAGTCCAATTGTCTGGTTTTCAAAACCATGATTCATGTTTTTGAAAGTATAGGCATTGATGATTCTACTATCAAGGGGATTAATTATCTACCCATTCCCAAGAGTAACATTTATAGTGATGTCGTACGACCTTCCCTGGTCCCTGTTGAAGAGGAGATCTAGGTGAGGTCGCTTGGCTTGTACCTGCAAAGGAGATGGCGTCAGAGTGATTGGGTTGTGGACCCGGGTGCGTAGGCTCCAGCAATCAAGTTAGTGCTGAGCTAGGAGAGCTAAAGAGAGTTGAGCGGAGGGAGAGCAGAATGAGAGTTTAAGTGCTAATAGAGAGCATACCATTTGAGGGTGAGGGATTGCCCTTAAGTAGGCTCTAGGGAGCGATTAGAATGCCTCTGAGATAATGGGCCTTGACCACCAGGATCTTAGGCATACCTAATAACGATCATTCAGTGGACTGCTCGCCATTTTCCCAAGAAACAAGGGAGACTCCTATAACCTCTGCTAAGTAGCGACGTGCCCCCAAGTGTCTTAGAGGTATTAGATGGTTTGCATGGTTCAAGACGAGTGAGTGACATAGGTCGGCCTTTACGAGGTTAGGGAACTTATCGGAGGCCTGGGTTGTATAAACCGTTTGAGGTGATGTCCGATGTCATGGGTCGGTCTTTCTTGAGTTGTCTTCAACTGAGCCTAGGTACTTTGATGTGACACAAATCTATTTTACTGGTGGATCAATTCCGACCTAAAGCTACTTCAAGTCCTGAGGTGGCATTGGACACCCACATGGCAACAGATGATTGGCGTGCCACTTTTACCTCTAGTATCAAAGGTCCTAGTAATTTCCACTCTATATGGTTAAGCCAAATGGTTATTCAATGAAGCTTCGTACATGTGATGCATCATCACATGACATGCAAATGGATCTACTAGTCTTAAGACAATACAACATAAGCAAATCCATGTTTAAAATAGTCTCGAATGCTCTTTTCTTGGGAAGTACAAACTTGGCCACAATGATATGTGTGGGCACTGGCAAGTGGCCCACTTCATGGTAGAACTGTTGGAGCCACCACCCATCATTAAAAAGAAAAGGGAGTGATGGGATGGGACTCCTAGAATTTGAATTTAGGCTGTTTTTAATTTGTGGTGACTCCCATGCCAAGACAAAGGCCATTTGGGTAAGTTGGGGAGGAGAGAGGGAAGGTGTTAGGCACCCCCCTCCCTCCTTTCTATGTGAATGTCATTTTCCCTAGACCAAAAATGAAATAACAGAGTGCTAGCAAAATGTAGTAGACCTCTCAACAAATGCAATAACTCACTCCCATTAAGTATGAACTGAATTTGAAAGCCTTCTCAAACTTTGGTGAACTTTCTAAATGAGCAGAGCTTGCTCCTGGTGAGTATGGAAGCCTTCTCAAACTCTAGTGAACTTCCTAAATGGGCAAGAACTTATTCCCAATGAGTACAAACTGAGTCCGAAAACCTTCTTAAACTCTGGTGAACTTCCAAAATGTGCAAGAACTAACTCCTGGTGAGYATGAATTGAGTCTGAAAGTGAGTATGAATTGAATCTAAAAGCCTTTTCAGACTCTGGTGAACTTCCTAAATGAGCAAGAACTTACTCTTTGTGAGTACAAATTGAGTTTGAAAGCCTTCTCGAACTTTGGTGAACTTCCTAAATGAGTAAGAACTTATTCCCGATGAGTATGAATTCAGTCTGAAAGCCTTCTCAGACTCTAGTGAACTTCTAAATGTACAAGAACTCACTCCCGGTGAGTACGAACTAAGTTCGAAAGCCTTCTCAGATTCTAGTGAACTTCCTAAATGTGCAAGAACTTACTCCTAGTGAGTATAAACCGAGTCAAAAAGCCTTCTTGATTGGACTCTAGTGAACTTCCTAAATGTTCAAGAACTCACTCTTGGTGATTACAAACTATGTCTGAAAGCCTTCTCAGACTTTGGTGAACTTTATAAATGTGCAAGAATGAGTGTGCCTACATTGCTATCACCACCATTATTAAATTCTTTGTATTTATCATATCCATCTATTGGTATTATCATTCTTATTGCTATTATTTACATTTTTGTTTAGCATAGAAAACATCTACTCTAATGTTGGACTTGGTAACAAAGCTTAGTAGGAGCTTGAACTCTATACCTCTTAATCATTTCATCTTTTAAGAACCATTCTGGGGTTATCCTTTCCACAATCCTAAAAGGGTTTAGGTTAGAGACCAACGAGTGGAATAGTACTAGGGTTCCCTCTTCACATCTCTCTTGGTACTAAGCCTCTACTTGGGTTAAACCCAAATCTAATGATGTTCTGGACTAGAACCGATCTGAGTTTGGATTGAGGGTACATGGGAGCCGATAAGCCTTCGATTGAGCTCTTTTTCTTCAAGCTAGCATCCAACGAGTGGGGCAGTACTAGGATTTCCTTCTCCACACCTCTCTTGGAACTGGTTTCATACTTAGAGGAAGAAGAGAACCAACGCCTAACTAGACTCTCATTTATTCTCTACCCAGGGCACAAGTTGGTTGTAAATAAGTAATCATGAGAGAGCTTACCTCAGTGTGATTCAAGGAGATGGGGAATTAGACTTTACAAACTCCAACCCCCAAAGCACCTCCAAAGCTTTCAAGTAGCAATGGCATCCTGGTAATGCCGACCTTGTGTGCCAAATGGACTGTTGGAGATTGAAAACTTTATAAAGTATTAGGGGCAACAATGATTGGGTGTAGAAGAGACAGTTTAGAATGGCCAACATCCGTTCATGGCATCCATTCTTCTCCATGTCATCAAGCTCCTCCTTCATTTCCTTTTCTAGGTAAGAAGATGGAGAAAAGAGAAGGGGCTCGAAATAGAATGCTCCCTCCTTTTCCCTTTTGGTAAAAAGATAAACATATTTGAAGAAAAGAGAAAAATAAGCAAAGATAAAATATTCACCTGATGTGACAAGAATATTTAGGTGAAGGGGACCATTTCCCTAGGTTGATTCAATGCCTTGGGTCCCCCCACATCCCCTATTTATAGGGCTCAAGTAGGGGTAGTTTAGGTAGGAGGAAAGGTGTGGTATTTTGGGTATTTTGAGGGCTTTTAGGGGCAAAATGGTCCAAACAAGGTGAATTTGGGGATATCCTGGGTAGGAG